GTTTAAATGGCTGCAGCCAGGGACTTACTTCCCAGACCAGAAAATAACTGTTGGGGATGTTGAAATGCCTATAGTTATCCTTGGGGACCCAGCCTACCCCCTAATGCCATGGCTCATGAAGCCATACACAGGCAGCCTGGACAGTAGTCAGGACCTGTTCAACTACAGGCTGAGCAAGTGCAGAATGGTGGTAGAATGTGCATTTGGACATTTAAAAGGTTGCTGGCGCACTTTACTGACTCACTCAGACCTCAGCCAAACAAATATTCCCATTGTTATTGCTGCTTGCTGTGTGCTCCACAATCTCTGTGAGAGTAAGGGGGAGACCTTTATGGTGGGGTGGGAGGCTGAGGCAAATGGCCTGGCTGCTGATTACGCGCAGCCAGACACCAGGGCAATTAGAAGAGCACACCAGGAAGCACTGCGCATCAGAGAAGCTTTGAAAACCAGTTTCATGACTGGCCAGGCTACCGTGTGAACGTTCTGTTTGTTTCTCCTTGATGAAAACCCACCCCCTTGATTGACTCATTCTCTGTAAGCAACCCACCCTCCCCCTTCGATCCCAGCTTGCTTTCAAAGGAAATAAAGTCACTATCGTTTAAAAATCATGCATTCTTTATTAATTGATTATAAAAGAGGGAGAGAACTGAGAAGGTAGACCGGGTGGGGTTTGGGAGGAGGATAGGAGGGAAGAAAAAGGCCACTAAAAAAGTGCAAAGTAATGACAGCCTTTTGGTTGGGCTGTCCACTGGGGTGGATTGGGAGGGTGCACGGAGCCTCCGCCCCTCCCCCGCGTTCGTACACACCTGGGTGAGGAGGCGATGGAACATGGTGAGGCGGGAGGGAGGTTATACAGCAGCAGCACTCTGTGCTCCTGCTGCCGTTCCTGAAGCTCCACCAGACGCCAGAGCACATCCATTTGATCATGCAGCAGCCCCAGCGTTGCAGCCTGCCACCTCTCATCTCGAGCGTCCCTCCTGTCCTCACGTTCACTGGCATCTTTCCTGTACTTTGATACTGTGTCCTTCCACTCATTCAGATGAGCTCTTTCATTGCGGGTGGATTCTATGATTTCCGAGAACATTTAGTCTCGCATCCTCTTTTTTCGACGCCTTATCTGAGATAGCCTTCGGGATGGAGGAGGGAGGCTTGAAAAATTTGCAGCTGTGGGAGGGAGGGAAAAAAGGGAGAGAATTTTTTAAAAACATACATTTTATAGAACAATGCTTATACTCTTTCACGGTGAACAACACTATTCACATTACATAGCACATGTGATTTCGGTACAAGGTCGCATTTTGCATCTTTTAATACTGAGTGCCTGCGGCTTTGGTGTTAGAGAGCACAGACGCAGGTCCGGGCAACAGAATTCGGCTTGCATGTGGCCATGGTAAGCCATTGTCTTTCAGCTTCTGCCGCTTTCCTACAAGCAGTGCCCTCCTTTCCCACATACCAAGCAGAGCCCGTTGAGTGCTGCGGTTTTCCTGTTAACGTGCAGCAGCAGAAACCAAACTAACCCCCCCCCAATCCAATTCTCTGGGATGATTGCTTTATCCCTCCCCCCACCTTGTAGCTGGTATCAGAGAAGATTCTCCTCACCCCCCTGCCCCCACTTGGCTAACTGCAGGGAAGGATTTCTTTTCAGCCACAGGCAAACAGCCCAGTAGGAATGGCCAGCTCTGTCCCCTTAATTAAATTCCCGTATTTCAACCAGGTTACCATGAACAATATCACTCTCTTGAGGATAACACAGCGAGCTAAAGAACGGATGTTGCTTTAATGCCAGCAAATACCAGGACCATACGATGCCAGACTTTGTCATGCAATGATACCAGACGCCTTGCTACTAGCATGGCATGGGCAAGTGTCCTACCATGGAGCACGGAATAAGGCTGCATTGCCCATAAACCTTCTGCAAAGGCTTTTGGAGTACCTCCAGGAGAGCTTCAAGGAGATGTCCCTGGAGGATTTCTCCTCCATCCCCAGACACGTTAACAGACTTTTCCAGTAGCTGTACTGGCCGCAAATGCATCCCAAGTCCTCAGGGCAAATTGATCATTAAAAAACGCTTGCTTTTAAACCATGTTTTATATTTACAAAGGTACACTCACCGGCGGTCCCTTCCATGGCCTCATTGTCTGGGTGTTGGGAGGGTGCTTCAGTCAGGCTGAGAAAAAGATCCTGGATGTTGGGGAGAACGGAGTGCTGTGTGATCTCCGCAAGCTCGTCCTCCTCTTCCTCCTCCTCTTCGCCATCCGCAGAATCCTTAGGCATGGCTAAGATTACCCCCGCCTCGGAATCCATGGTCAGAGGTGGGGTAGTGGTGGTAGCTCCCCCTAGAATTGCATGCAGCTAAGCGTAGAAGCGGCATGTCTGCGGCTCTGACCCAGAGCGACCGTTTGCCTCCTTTGTTTTTTTGATAGGCTTGTCTGAGCTCCTTAACTTTCATGCGGCACTGTAGTGAGTCCCTATTGTGGCCTCTCTCCATCATGCCCTTGGAGATTTTTTCAAATGTTTTGGCATTTCGTCTTTTGGAACGTAGTTCTGCTAGCACTGAATCCTCTCCCCATATAGCGATCAGATCCAGTACCTCCCGTATGGTCCATACTGGTGCTCTTTTTCGATTCTCAGACTGCATGGTTACCTGTGCTGATGAGCTCTGCATGGTCACCTGTGCTCTGCACGCTGGGCAAACAGGAAATGTAATTCAAAAGTTCGTGGGGCTTTTCCTGTCTACCTGGCCAGTGCATCCGAGTTCAGATTGCTGTCCAGAGAGGTCACAATGGTGCACTGTGGGATAGCTCCCGGAGGCCAATACCATCGAATTGCGGCCACACTAACCCTAATCCGAAATGGCAATACCGATGTCAGCACTACTCCCCTCGTCGGGGAGGAGTACAGATATCGATATTATGAGCCCTTTATATCGAAGTAAAGGGCTTCGTTGTGTGGACGGGTGCAGGGTTAATTCGGTTTAACGCTGCTAAATTCCAGATAAACTCCTAGTGTAGACCAGGTCCTAGAATCCTGTGTGCATAGGGTGATCTGGAGCCCAACTGATACCTGCTGTGTGGATGAACATCTAGTTCGGGGTAGGCAACCTATGGCACACGTGCCGAAGGCGGCACGCAAGCTGATTTTCAGTGACACTCACACTGCCCGGGTCCTGGCCACCAGTCCGTGTGGCTCTGCATTTTAATTTAATTTTAAATGAAGCTTCTTAAACATTTTAAAAACCTTATTTACTTTACATACAACAATAGTTTAGTTATATAATATAGACTTATAGAAAGAGACCTTCTAAAAACGTTACAATGTATTACTGGCATGCGAAACCTTAAATTAGAGTGAATAAATGAAGACTCGGCACACCACTTCTGAAAGGTTGCCGACTCCTGATCTGGTTTATTACTTCTGGATAATTGGGTTTTCTCGCTATTTGGCTTTTGATTTGACTTTTGGATTTTGATCACATTTTATTTTTGTCAGGCTTTACCAGCTTTTTTTTAAACTGTAAATATGATACTAAGGGCTAAATTGTGCCTTTAGGCACAGCCTAAAGCCAGCACGTTTATGTGAATAGCACCACCCAGGAGTAGCCCTGGGGGAGGCACTGAGATTCTGAGGTACAATTTCTTCCCTGTTTCTTATGAGGGGAAGTACTTCACTGTATCCCTTCCCATGCCAACCCCCTTATACTTGGCCAGATATTCTAGGGTGTGTGTGAGAGGAGGAGGGGCCTAGCCCACTTGCTTATATCAAAGAGTATACAGAGAGCAGGGTCTGTACTCCACACCAGACCTGGACCCACAGTCCAGGCGGAACTTATTCACTGCCGCAAAGGGGTGAGGTGTCATAACTCCCCACCTCAATCAAGTAAGACATGGGTGCTGTCATGTTGTTGCATCTGTGAATATACTTGGAAGTTATTTATTTTTTAAATCCACAATGGAGAATACAATCCTTTTTGATGTTGTGCTTAACAAAATGTTACTTGCTTCAAAATGTGCATCTGACATATCAACTTTGCAGGGCTTGAAAATTGAACAAACACAGTATTAGCTGGAGGATTACCTGATAGCTAAAGGTAGAGGCTTAAGACCATGAGGGGCAGAGGGCTATTAAGTAGGTCCAGGGACAACCCACTGGTGAGAACCTGTACTCCCTTGATAACAGCAGGAACGAGGAAGAGGGAGGATGCATAGGTTTCTAACTCTGTTGTCTGTGGACCCTTTTGGGGGCTCCATCTCACATATTTCTAGCTAGTAGGTACCCTATAAATTGGAAGCCCACCCCTTCTAGCTGCTAGATGTCTTTCTTTTCTTCCCTCCACTTTGCCAGAATTGCATCTGTGAGGTTAGAGTCTTTACTCTTGGCTGAAGTGGAGAGGGATCTGAGAATAGGAAAAAGGTGTCTCTCTCTCCCTCTCTCTTTCCCATTCTCAATTTCTGGATCTCATCCTTTGTGAATAACTTCATTACCTGCTTTTGATGCTTTCCCAAACATTTCCTGTCCACTGGGTCCTGAATAGCTTTAATTACATTGTCCAGATATGTTAATTTCATCTTGATGTTTGGCAAAGATAGAAGCGGCAATACAAGCACTGGTGTTGTCTGTCTTGCAGACTCAGGAATTCTGAAATGCATCAGTTCAAATTTGAAGGGATATTATCACAGCTGTAAAGGCTAGAAACTTTAATTAAAAAAATTAAATTATCCAGAAATCGATGAATTGGGCAACACTGCTGTCCAGGACAGTCTTTCCCATTGTTTTTTTATGAGTGAACAAGTGGATTTTTCAAGTTCTGCATTTGGCATTCCATTAACAAAAATCACATGCTTTGGTCTTTGTGTATTTGAGTCAGCCCACAACTCCATAATTTTCATGAAACATCCTTGTTAAACACATTCCCTTTCCCTGCTGCATAAAAGTTTAATAACATGGAGCGCGCCTGATTTTTTTCAATGGTATGATTAACTGTAGTTTAATATCTCTTTCAGTGATAGCCAGTTTTCGAGGAACAGTCCCACATGGCTTATCATTGGAGATTGGAGACACAGTTCAAATACTAGAAAAATGTGATGGTAAGTACACAGGTTAAAACTCTCATTTTAATGAATTGTTACTGTGCTGATGTGAATTTGAATCCCATCACTCTTCGTTTAATTTTAAAATGTAAATGAAGCAAAAATGAACATCTATGCTTGCATGTGTTTAGGCTTGAAAGGATTAGATTTTTTTGGTAAATGTCAGTAAATATTGATTTAACTGTGCACAAAGAAACCTATGAAAAAGTATTTCCATTTATAAGAATTGGTAACATAATCCCAACTATACATACAAAATGATGAGGTCTATATTAGCTGTTACCACTCAAGAAAGAGATCTTAGTATTATTGTGGATAGTTCTCTGAAAACATCTGCTCAAAGGATAGCGGTAGTGAAAAAAGCAAACAGAATGTTAGGAGCCATTAAGAGAGGGATAGATAAGACAGAAAATATCATAATGACACTATATAAATCCATGGTATGCCCACACCTTGAAGACTGTGTGCAGTTCTGGTCACCCCATCTCAGAAAAACATATTAAAATTGGAAACAGTACAGAGAAGGGCAACAAAAATGATGAAGTGTCTGGAATAGCTTCCCTATGAGGAAAGATTAAAAAGACTGGGACTTTTCAGCTTGGAAAAGAGATGACTAAGAGGGTATGATAGAGGCAGGGCCGTCCCTAGGTCAAATGGTGCCCCAGACGAGGAGAGTCTTCGGTGCCCCCGCTCCATTTGTTAAACTTTTTGAATACCTCATAACACTCTGAGTCTGGCGCATCCCAAGCCCCCTAAGCCCAGCACCCCAGGGGGTTGCCTGGCTCCAGTCACCTGCTGGATAGAGGTGTATAAAATCATGACTGGTGTGGAGAAAGTGAATTAAGAAGAATTTACTCCTTCACACAGCACAAGAACCAGGGGTCACCCAATGAAATGAATAGGCAGCAGGTTTAAAGCTAACAAAAGGAAGTACTTCTTCACACAACTCGCAGTCAGCCTGTGGAACTTGACAGGGAGTGTTGTGAAGGCCCAAACTATAACAATATTCAAAAAAGAACTATATAAGTTCATGAAGGATAGGTCCATCAATCGCTATTAGTCAAGATGGTCAGGGGTGCAACTACATGCTCTGGGTGTCCTTAGCCTCTGATTGCCAGAAGCTGGGAGTGGATGATTAGATGGATCGCTTGATAATTGCCTGGTCTGTTCATTCCTTCTGGAGCACCTGGCATTGGCCACTGTTGGAAGATAGGATACTGGGCTAGATGGACAATTGGTCTGACCCAGTATGACCATTCTTATGAAATTTGCAGATAGACAAAGTAGGAAAAATGGTACTTGAGAACTTATTAGAATTTTATTTTAAGAATATTTACTTTGTATATATTGACCTGTAATGTTGACAACTTGTGTTTTAACAGTGATAAAGCTTTAACTTTTTGAATCTGTATCTGCTGTCATTAAATAAAAATTCTGACCACCGTAAGTTTCACAACTGTGAAAATTAAAATCAATAAAAATAAAAGAATGCTTAAAACCCAGAATTAACTATCTAAAAATAAGCTTACAAATAAATATTGATATTATCCATCAAAATTATAATAAACAAAAATTAAATTCTGCCAAGCCTTCATGTTTCTGTATGTCAAAGGAATTCTAATGACTAGGTTTGATCTTTGTAACTGTATTCCTTTTTGTTTCTTCTCCCTGTTTAATTAATATCCAGGGAGAAAAATAATTGTTAAACAGCAGGGAGGTCTCATTGTGACTTTTCTTTTTGCTCTCATGGTTTTTCCCAGGGAAGCTTGATTTTCAGCAGGAGGCTTTCAAACTTCATGCCAAATCACAAGTTTAAATCCTAGAGCAATGTTAAAGATCCCTGACCTACTTCTGTTTTGATATAGAGACTCCTGGAATAAAAATATTTTTAAACTTGATTTTAATGTATGTACAGAACTAGAATAAAGGAAATAAAACTGCGTTTCTTTCATAGAATTTCCTTAAAATCCTACCTAAAGTCAGTTTTTCAAAACTATATTTTTGTTGTTTAAGATAACATACATTTATTAGCATAGATGTGGGGGTGTTAAACTGCTCATCTAGTTAGTAGTGAGTGATTAATCTTTGTCATAAAATGCATTAAATCTACTTTAGTTATTTTGAATTTCATTCATTAGGATTTTTAGTATAATAATGTAGCTAATAGCCCTAGCCTGGTCAGCATAATCATAGTTCAGAATAGCAGTTAATGGTACTGTCTACCTTTAATATTTGATATGTTGCTTGATACAAAAAAATTAAGGTGCCTTGTTGGGTTCATATTTGGAGGATATAGCAGAAAATATCTATGAAGTAATTTCAGTTGATACTTTAGTTAAAAAATTACTTTTCAATGCACAGAATGTACTCAAAATGAGTGTAGTCTATTACACTGTGGTATGTAATAGAATCATGTCAGTCCAAAAGAAAAATATAAAACAAGTTTTTGAAAATGGCAATGGTTTACATATTTAAAAAACAAAAATGTTATTTCTCCACAGGCTGGTACAGAGGATTTGCCTTAAAAAACCCAAATATCAAGGTAAAAACACAAATGTTTCTAACTATAGTTTGAATTCTTTGACAAAAATGTGAATTCAGTCAAACATGTTCGTAGCTGAGTGTAAGAATATGATATTTACCATTATGGGAATGCCACAGTTTAAGATACTATGGCATTTGGTGTTATGTATTTTAAAATCAACGTTGACAGACGTATCCTTTATCATGGATTATATTTTTTTTAAATGCTCTCATGTTAATACTGTGAGCCCCTTGGATGTCAAGACCTCTTGGCAAAATTAGCTTTTGTTTAGGCAACATAAATTAAGTTAGGGGGCTTAAGGGAGAGCTAAATGAAAGTATAGAGAGTTAGCTACCATGAATGCATGGTGAAAATAGTGTTGATCAGATTCTTTGACTTTAATGTGCAGACTCAGTGTAGCCTCAGAGCCCAATTAGATATCTATTGTATCTCTTGCAAATGCACATTACATGCATATGACACTTCTTGATGCTAGTGAAACTCATAATGCTAGAGTGAGACCTCTTACTCTTTCTGACTTCTATACTTTTTTGCATGAAAATAGGTTCAGAATTAGATTTTGGTGATGTTGGGTTCTCATTTTTGTATCTTAATCTGTTTTGTAAGACATTCCCAATTACCCTTGCATGGCCTTGGAGTTGCTCTACAGCCTAAAGTGAATATTGATTGCATTTGATCATCATGTGCTTACGGTCAATGTAAGTTTGTACCCTGCCAGATGTGTCAAAAAAAGTTATGAATGGGACGTCCTAAACATGACTCAAGCTCTGTGAGGAAATGAGCTAGCCAGGTGTTGTCACCTTTTGTGAATGAAGGTGATTTTCTGAACTCTACCTTGAAAACAAGTCTTCCTGAGGCAGCATGGCCTGCTAGTGCTGCTCTGCCAGACCTCTTCACTAGCTACTCTACTATCTGTCTCATAGCAAAATGGGGCACCATCAACTGTTCTTAAACCACACCGGATTTTATTTTTAAATTTTCCATCTGAACATTTTTTTAAAACTAGCAACGTTGTCCTTTTTGGAAAATTCATCAGGGCTTTCTCTTGCAGTTGTGTCTTTAGGTCAACTTGCCTGCTTTTATTTACTGCCCTGCTTGTGAATCACAGTGCTCTGTAAGGAGTGCTTGGTGGTGGTTAATCGCTGCTGCTTTGCTACCAGAGAATATAAAAGAATAGTGTATTCTTGAGTAGATCCCAAATAAACAGTGGAGTCGTTAAAAACACTGTGTTTTGAAAATCCATTCCAGATGTCAATTTGAAGATGCCATAGATAAACGTTGGCCACAGACTATTTGACATTATCCCTTAAAATAGGACTTAGTAAAAATGGTAACTATCCAAGAGCTATGCTGCAATGTTCTATACATTCTGCACACATTTTTAGTTTCATATTTGAAGTTTCAATTATTTAAATCTATATTATATATACTAAATAGTCACAGTGGGATTTTTTTGTCATAAATAGTGTCACTGATAAAAAGAATCCGCTATACACTGTGCAAGGTTTTCTCTGAAATGGTTAGTCTAAATCAAGATTCTCTTCTAACAGTAGGCAGCTTGTTAAAACTTTGTGCATTTATTAAACTATTTTCTCTTTCAGGGTATATTTCCATCCAACTATATCCACTTGAAAAATGCATGTGTTAAGAACAAAGGGTAGGTGGTGATTTTGTATTCAGCTATTTAAGGAGGCTGGGGAGAAGGATCTGAAGTTGTGCAGATTGTTGTAACAAGGCTGCATTTCAGGCAGGATAAAGATATAATTTTCACTGGTGTTTAACACTGTAAAACTTCAGCTCACTGCCCCCAAAGGATTTAAATGAATATCCTTAACCAGCCCGGTATTTTCATTCAGGCATAAGGTAGGAAGTCACTTATTCTAAAAATACATGGAGCAGAAATGGGGAAATGATTTCTGTGTTGTCTAGCATATGCAGAGAACAATTACTTGTTTTTAACTACTGGTGTTAATCAGACTGAGTTTAATAGGCTGGCTCTTTTATTTAAACACAACTCCCTACAGGGTTCTGCATAGAATTGTCTATTAGCCATTGCTGAACATTGCTCATTTTATTTAGGGTGACAGCTGCTTCATGGCAGAACTAGGTTGCCATTATTTGAAACAATCTCCTGGCATTCACACACAACTTTGCAAGGGACATTTTCAAGTCAGTCTATGCATTATAAAAAGATTTTACAAATCTAAAATTAATAAATTGTTTTCATGTTTTTGCTTCTGAATTACAATGAAACATGTTTTGTTTTAGTTTTGGATGTCTGCTAGTCTGTTTTCATTATCGAAAGCAGAGTTAGTAAAAACCAATAGGTTAGTTTTTTTTTTTTTAATTGAAAGAATTTCTAACGCGAGTAAAAGAGAGAGTGACATTTTGTTTTTTAAGGTGTAACTTTTAACTTGACAACATCCCATTTAAAATATCTTGTTTATCAGTGGTTATTATGCCAGCACAGTTTTTTTCTTCGGTGTTTACACAATTCCTGAACATTTATTTCCTAGAATTGGCCTTCTTTTGCTACATGCATTAAGAGAGGAATTATTGATTGAAATTAGCAAAAATAATTTGGAATTACTCATCATGGAAGAGTTCTTGTTTTCAGCGTCCTTTTGAACTGAAAGGACCTGGATAGCAGGTACTACACAAATGCTTGAAGATTTAAAACTACATCTCCCTTATGGGAGGCGAGAATAAGGAAGTAAGTAGACGGTCAAAGCTCCATGACTGGCAAAGAAAATCTTTCTGTTTGGCATCCTCTAACAACTGGTCAGGACAAGTGCAGTTGAATTCCTTATTGCCAGCTGAATAAGCCACTGTCTGTACGTTTCTAAATTACTATGCTGTCTCTGCCCAGCCAGTTAAGCCATTCAGCAGGGCTGGTTGAAAATTTTCCACTGAAATTGTTTGTGGACAGAAAATAGGGTGTTTGACAAAATAAAACTCTTTGTTGAAAGTGCACAAAAATGGCTTTGTGTGGAAAATTTCAGCTGCTTCATGCCCCAATTTTCTTTTATGGGCTCTGATCTGTAGCCAAATTACCTTTCCCATAATGCTCTGTGGCCAGGGAATCACATGGTGCTCCACAACAACTCAACAAAAGGGGAGACTGTGGTGAATCATGGGAGATGTAGTTCAGCCAAGAAGCCAGGCCATAGTTAAATATTTATTGCAAACAGCCTCCTCCTCCTCCAGATTGGACCTGATCCTCCACTGTGTGTGCTGTTTTTACATCTGTGTAACTCTGAACGAATGGAGCTGCACTAGTTTAAAATCAGTGCAACAGAGTGGAAGATTTTGCCCACAGACTTTGACTTACACATTTTCCTAGCCAATGCAAAAACGTCACAACCCCTGTTTCCATGCTGAACAACCTTGCTAGCTTTCTTTCTTGAGTCCTTGCTTCCATTCTATCCCCTCTTTTTATAGGAATTGCATTTCTGAAGTCATTTACATAAACAGAAGTAAAAAAAAAAAATGGGGAGCATGTTCACTTGTTTAGTCACTAAATTGTAGTAGCACCAACAAACTTTCCTTTTAGTTGAAGAGATTTATACAAACGTGCTTGAAATAATTGTATTGATATAAAGCTATGGGTGAAATCCTGCCCCCTTTGAAGACAATGGCAAAACTCCCATGACTTCAATGGGACCAGCACTTCACCCTCTTTTTTATTTTATTTTATTTTTTTTCTTCAAGTAAAAAGAAAGAAGTCCCATGGAGGTTAATAAATATCGACATTTGTAAGAGAGAGGTTTTATGTTAGCAACAACAGTGTGGTTTATATTATTTGTATAATGCCATATATTCTTCTGGATGCCACAGGCAGTTTGAAATGGTTATTCCAACAGAAGACTCCGTTATCACAGAGATGACATCAACTTTAAGAGATTGGGGGACCATGTGGAAACAACTTTATGTGGTAAATACTATATAATATTGCCTTGCTTGAATGCAGTTTAAAATAGTTTCTGTCACCTTACAAATAATAAAATAAAGTGGTTTGTATTTAAGAAAAAACAAAAGGAAAAAAGTATTCTTCCAAAGATCATATTGTCCCTGTCTCCCCCGCCCCTCGCAGGAATTATTTAAACCTCTTTTTTTCCCCAGTTTTTTTTTTAATCCAATATTATGGTTTTCTGCCAGAGACTAACTAGGACATCTGTTCACTGTGTAATTGATAGTAACACAGAAGAATAAATGGGAATGGCTTAGTTTTGTTATCAAAGTCTAGATTTAAAAATGGTACGATTTGGGAGCTGTGACTACAGAAATCTGAATGACAATATTAGCATGGCTATTAAAAGACAAAGACCAAAAAGAGAGCAAGAAGAAGATCAAATGGTTTTTTCAAGTATAAACAATCAGAAGCCACAAGCAATAGAGTAAAGGAAATAATGTAGAACATAGTAACAAGCAGAAGGTAACATGAAAGAACTGCAGTTTCAGTCCATAATATTAATCAAACAAGAAAGTAAAGTGCCGCTGTTCGTTGCAGCTAATGTAGGGGGGGGAAAGAGTGAAAAAGACTTTTCCAAAATCTGACACCTTTATAGTAGCTGTGGCTTTGATTTGACTTCGATTTTTGGAATGGGAGGTTAAATTTTGCACAGATTGTTTTAAAAGAAATTTTTTTTGATGGACAAAAAGTCAAGCCTGACCTTGAACCTCTTTTGAAAGAAATGCTGAACAGCCAGTGGAAGGAAAACAGCTTGATACTTAGATAAAAAGCAAGATAAAATGTGTTGCACAAAGTAAAAGCATGATTGCCGAGCTGAAACAATGACCTGCTGCCAGACAGAAGAGAGATTTAAAAATACAAGTACTGAAGTTGTCAGTTACATAATAATTATGGCATATACGTTAGTTTTAAAAATATTGGCAGGATGGGAGAGAACAGCTTTTATTTTGGTTTGCTGTACCTTTTCCTTTATTCTTTCTTAGCAAGGACAATTTTTTTGTTGCTTGAGTCAATTTGTCGTTTAAACTTAAAACCCTGCAAACTCTAGCATTGGTCAGTCTGTGATCTGAGAGCCCTACTATCCTGTTTGCAAGGGTTGCAAAGAAACCAACCGCTGTAAATTAACTTGGAGGTCTGATTATAGATTATGTCCAGCCTCCAAAGAGGGCGTCCATTCTCACTTACCTCAGCACCTCTTGAGTAGAGCCCAAATTCAGCAAAGCATTGACTTAAGGCCATCCCTATTCAGCATCACACCTAAACATCTGCTTAAGTCCCATTAAAGTCAACAGTGCTTAAGTTAACTTGCTTAAAGCTAAGCATGTGTATAAGAGTTTCGCTAAATAGGGATAAATGTGCTTCTGATGTGAGGTCTAATTCAGGAGGATTGTAAAAGGTGAAATCACAGCACTACTTGTGGAAAGGAGGCTGATTAAAAGATTAGTTCCCATGGATTCACAAAAACTTGTAATTGTGACCACCCTCTATCCATTTCTATAAAAATCTATTGAACCTTTACTACTGAAAGTTTGGAGAAAAAAAAATCTGAAAAGGAGATTTAAAGTTATAGTGTTTCAAGGATTTAGTTCATACTTCCAAAATGCCTTGTCCTACAAACTCCAAATTCGCTTTGTTGAGCAAAAGTACCATTTTAATACTTTGATGATTGGGTGGCAGGGGATTAGTGGGAGCTATTCAAAGTTGTATATGATTTAAAGAGCTTGTGATAGGATGTACATACACAAGGCTAAAGTAGGCAGGGTTTAGGTTTGCGAGGGAGTTGTTAGAGCTAGGGCATAAAAAAGAGGCTAAGGGAGAGCTCCTAAAGGGAAGAGGAAGTGTATTCTGTTCGCGGTCCAGGGAGGAAACACTATCATGTCCCAGACCAGGAAGCAAGGAAAATTTGGGAAACTGACTGTCATGTTTAAGCAGAAGGAATATATTGCTTGCTGGGGATGGTGTAAGATAGGGACTATTTCAGGGGTGGCCAAACTGTGGCTTGTGAGCCACATGTGGCTCTTTTACCTTTAAAGTGTAGCTTGTGGAGCCCCCAAAAACCCATTCCCCACCTGTCAGACCGGGGGGTGGGGGTTGGGACCATTGCCTTGCAGTGGAGTAGTTGTCTCTGCCCAGTGGGGAGGGGGATCTTGGGGCTTCAGCAGGAGCGGGGCTGAAGTCCCAACCCCTGTCAGGCGTCTCCCACAGGGCTGAAGCCATGAGCCCTGGCAGGTGTGCCCCAGCTCTTGAACTTTTGAAAATTGTCGTATGTGGTTCAGAGGGTCAGTAAGTTTGGCCACCCCTGGACTATTTGGTTTTTCCCTTATTTGAAGCAAACTATCTTTTGTTGCTATTTCTGGACCAAGCTGAAGAAGGCTTCAGTCCTGACACTGCATGTATTGGGCCAGGCCAAGGAATTGCTCTGGGCAGGGATGCCTGTGACATAGTGGCCATGAACAACACATTGTTTCTTTTTTCCTTGTTTTATTTCTCTTTCCTGATACCTGCAGCTATGGCCCAGCCATGTTCGTAATGGTTTTTAAATCTATAAACAGTAATGTTTTATAAACATTAAGAAAATTGACTGATCTGCTGCTGATTCCATTGTTGGTCAGAGCTCAGGAGCATGGTTTGGGGGTTTGAAACCAGGGAGGGGGCCCAGCAAGAAGCCCAGAAAAGGGGACAGGGGAGTGGAAGGGACATGGACCCATTCTTCCCTGACTACAAATGTGGGGATTCTGGGGAGGTGGGCAGGACTTACGGAGCATGGAGAGGGGGAACTATAGGGCATAGCGGATGGGCATTGGGAGAGGCAGGGAACACAAGGGCATAGAGACAGAGGACCATAGATAGATGCAGCCTTTTTATCCACATTAAAAGGTTTGTAGATACACAAAACTGATAAAAGCCTCCACTTTGATCATCCCCTCCATTCCCTCCACCATTCTTAATCCTATACCCTACCCAGTTTGAATTTTCTTTTCTTTCCTCCCATCACCTCTTATGAATGCAATAAATCAGTAGAAGAAGAATGCCACTTTAGGCCTTATTGATCTGTCAGACCAGGGCTTCCGCACCTGCAGACACTACACACAAACTCCATTTAAATTTCAGGACCTCGTTTTTTAAAAAAGGAAAATCGCCCCCAAAGTTTGTTAGAAAGAGATAAGGCAGAAAGTGTTTCACTGGCATTTAGCTAGCATCTCCCCAGAATTACATTTTCTTTGTGACAGTTCCACAGCTTTATAAAACTCAAATGTTGAATCTGGAAATGACCGATTAAAGGCTCCAGCCAGTTCTCCATCATTGACTATTGCCAGGTTTAATTTACATAACCCACCCAACATTAATTATGCCCCCTATAATGAGCTAAAATATAAGCAATGGTCAAAATAACAAATTACTAGTACATCATAAAATCCAATTTCCTATCTAAAGGATACACTTCTAACATGCCTTACTATTAACATGTTCATATGTGGTATTCCAGTAAACTATGTTATAATGTTGACTGCAAAAAAGAACTATATGAGTTAGTTACTACATAATATAGTTATAAATATGAACTTGAAGGGTCTTGCATACACTTAAACATCATATAATCCACAGACTTTATAGCACTAAACAAATGTAATCATGCTATTTCTGCACCCACACATCAGTGAGAGAATTTATACAACTGAACGATCTGAATGTTTCCTGGAACTATGTTCCTTTCACAAGCTTTGCATGCTAAACTTATATATAAATTCAACCATGTATGTCTAACAGCATATTTTCAATGCGGAACAAAATAAGGAGCAAACTTAAGATATGTTGGGTCATATTGAGTCATAGAATATTAGGGGAATTGACGGGATCCCTTAATTGTTCATTTCTAGACTTAACTTTTACATTTTATTTTTACTAAGGGACCTTATTTCCAAATAGTGCTGAGTATCTGCCCATTGAAACTCAGATCCCTTTAAGATATCTCCAGCTGGACACTTAAAAATGGAGATGTGCAAAATCACTAGCAAAAAGAAGAACAGGAGTACTTGTGGCACCTTAGAGACTAACAAATTTATTAGAGCATAAGCTTTCGTGGACTACAGCCGAAGAAGTGGGCTGTAGTCCACGAAAGCTTATGCTCTAATAAATTCGTTAGTCTCTAAGGTGCCACAAGTACTCCTGTTCTTCTTTTTGCGGATACAGACTAACACGGCTGCTACTCTGAAAATCACTAGTGATTTTTAGAAAATTTAGACCAGGAAATTTTGAGGGGACAAAATTGTTTCTGTAGACCTCTTCTACACACGTTGCATGGCTTTTCAGTGTTTTTAAAGAACCGGTTTATTGTGGTTAGCACAGACCAGATATGAAGAGAGAGGGCCTTTATCCATCCATCCATCCATCCATCCATCCATCCATCCATCCATATGAAGTTAATGGAAAGACTGCTCTTGATTTAAGTGTTTTGAGACAGATCTGTAGTGTTGTCATTAGATAGAGTGGTGCTGCCGAAGTGGCTTGCATCTCTCGATCTGTGAATCCTCACCACTCCAACACTTTGAGCAGAGGCATGTTGGATTTCGTTTTCAGTATATTTGAGCATTCAGGATTTTGAGCATTTCGTTTTCAGTATATTTGAACCCACAGGCAGGCCTATATTCAGGGGTGAAAGTAACTTAAAGGACTTACCGGTATGCCAGAGTCCTGAGCGGGGGGCGTGGCCTCAACCGGAAGAGGCGGGGCCTTTCAAGATTTAAAGGCCCTGGGGCTCCGGCTGTGGCTGGGAGCCCCAGGGCCTTTAAATCACCCCAGAGCTACCAGCTGCAGAGGCGGCTGGGAGACCTGGGGCTCAGGAGTGATTTAAAGGGCCGGGGCTCCCCGCAGCAGCAGGAGCTCTGGGCCCTTTAAATCCCCGCCCGAGCCTGGCTGCTGGAGCTCCAGTGACACTTTAAAGGGCCTGGGGCTCCCCGCAG